GAAAGTGAGCTATATGGTCTTTAATCTTCAATAGATTTCATATTCTCTAGGGTTTGTGTAAAGTGCTCGGTATCAATAAATATCTGAATAAATGCGTATTTCCACCATTGCTAAATACTTCAAATCAGTATCCAACTTAAACAACTGGCAGGTACTAAGAACTTATTTGTAAAGAAACACTTTAAAGCTGGGTGTAGTACTGCATGCCTGCAACTCCAGCGGATCAGAGGATGAGGCAGGAAGAATGCATATTTGAGACCAGCCTGAGCTACTTAGGCCCTAAGCAATTCAGTGAGACTCCGTCTCTGAATTAAAAGTAAAAAGTGTTGGTGATGTGGCTCAGTGGTTAAGTGCCTCTGGGTTCAATCCCTGGTACTTCTCCCCAAACAAAAGACTTTAGCGCCCCCCACCCTGTTTTTTCCCTTGAATGAGTATCTACTTCCTAAATAGACCTCTGCCTATGCCTTCATGTGGTGCCCACTGAGGTTCTTTCTATCACCTAGGCTAAGACCACCTCCCGCTCCCCCTGTCGAATTCCCCAGCTCCTCTGGGAACGCCTCAGACCCTTCTCTGGAGACATCTTTTCTCCCATGACATCTCTTGGTGGCCTTTTTGTCTCTTCTAGATTACAGTTTCATGTGAAAAGTGTGGCAGTGTAAGAATTCTAACCCATTCCCACAGCCATTTCCTGTAGGTCAGGCAGGCTGAGACTACTCATCCGGACGGGACGGGGCAAGGTCACTGCCCCTGGCCACCCTGAGGCAGCCACAGAAGTTGATGAAATGGCGACTCAGGTAGAGAGAGATACTGTGTCTCAAAGGACGCCATGAGCCTCTGCGACGCAGAAAGCACTCCGGAGGCCTCGGCCGAGTGCCCTGTGGCTCCTCCTGCAGTCGGGCCCCTGACCACTGCCCCTGTGCATACTGGAACCAGCTCAGGAGGGGCATCTCATTCTGGAGACAGCCTGCATCCTCCCTCGTGTCTCTGAATGAACCTCTGGAGACATGCTTCAGCTTATGTGGCCAACAGGCCGGCAAGCGCGCGTCGCTGTGTCCAGCAATCTCTCAGGCCTTTCGCTTGAAACTGCTTTTCATCGCAGTTGGAAAACACATAACGGGTTTCCGTCTGTGCTCCGCGGGCTGCTTCTTGGTTCCCTTCTCCCCTCTGCGGGCCTGACCCTGCTGCTCCACGAGCCGAGGCGAAGCGGCTCCCGACTCCGGGGCCCACTCCCGGCGTCCGACGGAGGCGGAGCTGGAGGGCTCGCAGCGCGGGCTGCTGGAGCTCCTACGCCCTCCACCCAGAGAGACGTGAGTGTGCGCGGTGGGAAACGCCAATTACCGACCAGGTACCAGCAGCTCAAAACCGCCGGACCAGGCCAAATGAGGCTGCCGCCCGGCAGCACGCCAACGCACGGCTCGCCGCTCTCAGCGACTTCCGGAGCGCGGCGTCCCTCATGGAGGAAGGGTCCAATCGCGGCGTCCTGGAGGCGGGACTTCCGGTAGGACTGAGCCAGTGCGGGCCGTGCCGGAAGTCGGTCCTGAGTGGAGAACGCGGGGACCTGGTGGAGCGGAGCTCCCGGCGAACGTCCCGTCCCGCGACCTAGGGAGGCCTGCTGGGCGGGGCCTTGTTTTCGCGAGAGACGGTGGCCGGGTGCTGTGAACCGCGGGGACATGGACAGTCGCCTGCAGGAGATCCGGGAGCGACAGAAGTTGCGGCGGC